TCAAAGATGTCCCTTCACTATATCCTAATGTGTTTGATATGTCTGTAATAACATGGTTAATTCAAAGATATATATGTAGTTTGTGTTTGACCTAACCGTGACGTTGGATCACGTGAGACAAACTCACTAGTTACATACAAATGCCCTCTTTGTGTCAGTTACAATAGTTTTATTGATATATAAGCATATACTCGTGATAAAGGTTAAAAGCCGAAACTTCGTGCAAAGAATAAAGAAATTTGTCCGAGGTTATAGGTCGTTTTATCATTACAGTCATGTGCTGTTGTCCGAGGTTATAGGTCGTTTTATCATTACAGTTATGTGCTGATCGATACTTAAGTCTGTTCATAGTTAGTGTTGTTTTTTTAAATTACAGTCCTGAGTTAATGGTTAATTTTTATCTATGTAGGTAGCTTGCTCTGATCACAAGTTATTTGTAATATGGGGAAATGTTTGGAAGTTCATTATGATACACACTGAGTTAATACAGTGTCTAATCTCACGTGTTTCTATATTCCTTACAATATTCTGTTGTTTTATGTATCATTAGAATTTTTTGTATTGCTTGATTCTCCACTGGATTGAATCTTTTACACAACATGGCTATAACTCTGTTGCAGTGGTCAAGTTGCTCCTCACTTAAATGACTTATAACATCATGCAGTAGACATACAGATTTCGCATCATATGTTGCATAGTCTGACTCAGAGTCCAGAAATTCCAAACAAATATTTGCCCGAAGGTCTTAAAGAATCGGTCTAGGTCCTCCTCTTTGGTACTCCTCAACATCAGTATGCTAATCTGCTTTACGTCACTACCATTAAATAGTGACAGAAAAGCCCAACTGCCTACACTTGAGTTCTCGACCACGATATGCTAGAGGTGTCAGTGACATCAAAAGCGCCAGCCTAACTTGGATCCTGGGAGTGTGTGTGGTTTTTGGGCCCAAGATCACAGGGCAATATGTCACTGCCATGTACATATTATCTCATGACTCTGACTTCTTGGCAGCTTTGGAAGCTCACTTTCTTAACCTATTAGAGTGTCGGGTTTACAAGAGATCGTCAGTCTTCTGTCCAGATGCATTCCAATTGATGTTATTGCACCAGTTTTTGACACACTTTATCTTTCAAGGGAACTCGAGCGCTAGTGTTTCCATCCACTGATAGAGTTTGGTTGCACGGACTGTTGGCTACATTGGAGTCTCCTAAAGACTAATTCATTCAATTCTCAGGATTTTCAGATGGCTTGTCAACATGATGAACGGGTCTGATGGTCATCTTGCTCCACAATCTGGATGGAAATTCTGTGAGAGTGAAGTGGATCAGCACTTAAGAGGTATCTGGCTATGGTTTAACTTCCTGTCTTTTTAAGATCTGAGACTACATTGGTCTCCTAAAGACCAATTCATTCAATTCTCAGGATTTTCAGATGGCTTGTCAACATGATGAACGGGTCTGATGGTCATCTTGCTCCACAATCTGGATGGAAATTCTGTGAGAGTGAAGTGGATCAGCACTTAAGAGGTATCTGACTATGGTTTAACTTCCTGTATTCCGATCAGACTACGTTCTCAGATCTTTAATTCACCTTAGTTACTGTTTCTTCCTCCTTATAAGTCCTCTGTTATCGTAGCAATGACCTTTACACTCAAGGAAATACAGATTTAAACTAAAATGAATGGGATTTGCTAGATAAAAAAGTTCTTGTTTTTACCTTTATTATATTGACTGGAGCATACTTGGAATGTTTTAATTACAGTTGTTTTTCGTTGTTAGATTTGCCATTATTAATAGAACGATCTTCGATTGAGTATTCTACTTCTGACAACAACCTATCCAATGGAATTTTATGGTTAAACCACAAACCAAGGGTGATTTTTATGGTTAACCATCCACTTCTCCACATAAATGCTTTGAATGCTGTTGGGTAGGCATTTTGTGGAAATGTTATATGTAGGTTGTTGATGATATGGTAACAACTTTCGGTGTCACTGCAGATTTTACGGATCCGATCTAATTGTCCCAGTTTTTGACATGTTGTCAGTTGTTGTTTTTTAAGCAGATAGTATGTATTAGCTCGTTAATATAGTAGTTTATTGATCACGAAATGGTAGTTTGTTGTCACTAGTTTTTGTTTCAAATGTAAATATAATGGAAATATGTTGTCTGTTGATTAAGTTGTGGAATTTTAGTAGTGTTTCAAGGTCAGCGTTCTGGAATAGAAAAATTATATCAGTGTAATAATAATAATTAGGAGAGAGATCGGATTGTTTTCTACTCTCAATTAGAAAATTTCTTTGTAGTGAATGAATAAAAAATGACTGAAAATACTCCAGCATTTCTGCTATTCATAACTAGAGCTTTTATCTGACTAAGTAGTCTCTTGACAATATGAAATCTACATGTGCCTTACAACGATGCAATGGATGAACATGATTAATGGTAGTAGACAGGCTTCTACAACTCTAGTAATAATGGTAGTAGACAGGCTTCTACAACTCCAGTAATAATGGTAGTAGACAGGCTTCTACAACTCTAGTAATAATGGTAGTAGACAGGCTTCTACAACTCCAGTAATAATGGTAGTAGACAGGCT